AATATTATGAAGAACGAATTAAAGATGATGAATACGATGAAATTGAAAGACTGGAAAAAATAAGAGATGAAATAGATGAAAAAATTAAGGAATTAAGAGAAGTTGAAAAATATAATGAAAATGAAGTAGAGGGTTTAATGAATATCCCAGCTTCAGAATCAGCAGTTCAGAAATCTCATGAAGAAAGATATAAAAATTACTTTTTGGAATCTACTAAAAATTTATTAGATGGTGATATTGACGAAACACTTTCAGAAGAAGGCACAAATTTATTCATAAACATAAGCTTCAGTTTATTGACGATGGAGATTATCCATGTATATTACTTTCACCACCTTTAGATTCTGAGAAATTCAAAAAAAGCTCTTAAAAACGTAACATATGCAACAAATACGATTAAGAAAGAAGACCATGATATTTACACAAATTATTATTTAAATAAATGCACAGGTGTTGATAAAGTTTTTGATTTATTAGATAAAATATCAAAAGAAACCATTGGAACCTATAAAATTTTGTGTGATTGTGGTTTCATTATTGAAGATACCAATAATGTTTCATATGAAAGAACAGCACCGAAGGAAGATGAAGTGGAAAGGTCTATACCATTCGTTATTAAGAACATAAAAGATATGAAAACTTATAAACATTATATTTATTCATTTATTTCAGAAAAATGGAAGCAACCCATAAAACATCTCATCATTTTATAGCTATTCATACATTCCTTTTCAAAGTTGTGAAATTAAATAAGACAGGAATTAGATTTAATGTATCAGGGTACACATTCTTGAGTAAATTAAAATGTATTCGTCACGTCGCAGATGATAAAAATTATTGTGTTCTTAATTCATTTTTATGTGCTTTAAAAAATAAACTTTATTTTTTAATTTTTTATTCTTACATAAATGAACAAAAATGGAACAGCTAAAATGAATGATAATCAAATAAGAGCCGAAGGTAGAAGGTTATTTAAACGCTTCTATAACATTCCTGATGGTTGTTAATCCTAAAACTCGTAGAAGTTATTTTAAATGAAGCACATAGATGCATATGAAGGGTTTGACATATTCATCAGAAAGTGAGAGAGTTAGCAAGAATGTTAAACGTTAATATTGATTTTATTATTGTGACCCTCAACCAGAAGACGTAGACATTAACAAGGGTAGACTTTCCATTAGTGGAATCAATAATGATAGATCCAGAATTTGAAACAGTAAATATTTTATTAACACAGAGTCCATGTGGAAAACTTCACGCTGACAGAATACAGACGTTGAAGCACTCACAGGATATAGAGTTTGCCCCTTTGCAAAGAAGAAGTAATATTCTATCCGTGATGATCCAGAAAGGAAAACCAAAGAAGATTTTTAAAACATTGTGAGAAATGTAAAGAAAATAATGGAAGATTAATTCAGACGTTCAATTGCAAACAACACAACAACCATATGCACCACATATCACGAAACAGAAGATATATCATGGCTATTAGCACATAATTTGCAGGAATATTATAAACCAACAAGATATTATATTACTTTTGACTTCGAAACATTAGAGACTAAAAGAAGAATTTACAACTTTCTGAGTGTGCAACTTTGAACGCTTACTTAAAAACCATTCATGGTATCATCAATGGTTAAATTAAATGATAAAACATATACGAGGAATTTTTGCTTAACATCAAGTGATTCTTTTATTTCTGATTGGATTGAGTTTTTATTTTCAACCTGTTCATTAGTTGCTAAATCAAATATTGAACAATATGAAGAATTAATGAAGTCGCAAACGGACCAAACGGTGGGGACTTTGTCTCAAACATTAAATGAAAAACAGAAGGAAGCATTTAAAGAACTTCTAGATGAGGAATTCAATAAAGTGAATATCATAGGTTTTAATTCGGGAAAGTTTGATTTAAATTTAATTCTTCGTGATTTAAACACTGCAAAATGGAAAATAAAATCAATGCTGGGTTCATCTTCACAATTTAAGCAAATCATTGTAAAGAAAACAAACGTTCCATATGAATTAAGATTTATTGACATCAGAAATTATATAGCGGGTGGGACATTAGACCAATTCACTCAAGATTTCGGAAACAATAATCACGTGTTAAATCCTTTTTCCCTTATCAATTCATCACATGGGAGAATTACGAAGAAGAATTATATAAAGTGGAACCATTCACTCAAGATTCATTTTATTCAGCATTAACTCAAGAAACTATATCAGATAGTGATTATCAAATATATCTCAATGATGCTAAAAATTTTGAGAATAGATTAGAATATTTTATTCATTATTGCAATAAAGACGTTGAAATTATGATTGACCCAATTGATAAAATTATCGAAGAAACATTTGTTTATAAAATTGACATGCTTCATAATCTTTCTTTATCATCGAATGCTTCAATGATTCGTTACGCTTTAGCATATAAAGACTTTAATCCTAATGAAAAATATCCTGAGGAAGAGATAGAATCAAGTTTTGAATTAACAAAAAAGTATTGGAAATATAAAATTGATTCATATAAGAAACAAGATGAAAAGGCGAAAAGAGATACTAAAAATAATGTTTCAACGGATGATTTTCAATACTATCACGATTTAATCCTTTCATCTAAATGCAAAATGTGTGGTAAAGCGTTTACATATGTAAATAAACCAACATTGGATAGAATCGATAATGAAAAACCACATACCAAAGAAAATTGTCAGTTAATGTGTTGTTATTGCAATGTCGTAAAATCAAATAAAGATGAAGATGTTCAACGTTTAAGAATCAATTTAAGAAATTATGCATTAAAAAATAATTTACCAATGACTTTAGATTCAGTTGAAGCTTATCACATTCTCCGTAATGGAATTACTGGTGGTTTATCAAATGTTCAACATAGAGTAAATCTTAAAGGAATCACACACATTAATAAACTTTCATATAATCCAGAAACTAAAACTGTATCAAATGAGGACACCACCAACATTATGACTCATTTCGTTGGAGTTGACTTTAATTCATTATATCCTTCATCATTTTCATCTAATCCTCATGATTTCATTCAATATACTGACCATAAAATGTATATGCCGGGAAGATTGAATGGTGTTATCATTTGTGATACAGCAACAAAGAAAGCAAAAGCACTGGGAATATTAGAAAGAAAAATACTTTATTCGTGGCTGAAGTAAAGGGTCACATTGATGAAAAATACATTAATGATTACATAAACTTTTTACCGATAATAAGAAACTTAGATATTATCACAGATGAAAAAACAATTGGCAGTTTTATGTATAATTACATGAAATCAAACAATTTACCGGTTGACCAGAAACAGAGAAAATTAACTCAGTTAGCATCAACACACAACCAATATCAACCATTTTCTTCTTATTATCTTTGGTATCTAATAGACAAATTTCATTTTATCATCGATGACATTCAATCAATTTTAACATTTACTAAAAACACTTGTTTTAATGAATTTGCGAACAAATTTATGAACGAAAGACAAAAGGCTGAATTAGAAGGAAATAAAGGAAAAAGTTTATTTTGCAAGATTTCACTTAATGGATCATATGGTTACGATGCAATGAATACACAAAATTACGCAAAGACTAAAATAATGAATGCACAGAAGGCACGCGTTGCATGTATGTCAAATAAGTTTAAAAACATAAGAGAAATAGGTGAAGATACGTATCAAGTGATGCTTAAAGATAGATTTTATAGATGTGAACATGTTTACAAGAGGCATTCTTCACTTTAGATAATGCTAAATACTGGTATTTGGTTTTCATTTATGATTTTATGTATAAATGCATGAATGTTAATCGTTTTCATTTCATTGAAGGTGATACTGATTCATCTTATTGGGCAATCGCTGGTGATCCAAATCTTCCTAACACTCAAGCATTTCAAGCAATTGTTACTGATAAACAATTTTATGATAAAAACATTTACAAATTCGCACCTTTTGATTTCTTTTGTTTTGATGAGAAATTTAAACCTAAATTAAAGAATAAAGCTGAAGAAAAAGCACATGAGAAGAAGTTATTGGGTTTAGCAATTGAGAAACAAGGTGATAACATGGTTGCTTTATGCCCCAAGTGTTATACATCATTCAACGGTTCAATTGATGGAAGTGATTTTAAAAAGATTGCACAAAAAATGAAAGGAGTTAGTTTACGACAAAATAAACAATTAACACCTAAAAATTATTTGGATATAATAAATGATAAAGTGATATTTGATGGTCAGAATATTAATTTACAACTTAAAAACGGGTCAATGACTCGCTTAACAATCGGTAAGACTGCATTAACAGGAGCACACACTAAGGCTGTATGTTGTGAAAATGGATGTTGTATGCCGTTTATTTAATGAAATGCCACAGAAGAGACAAAAGGAACCGTTGAATGATGGTTTTGATTCTTGATCAAAGAGGTGGGCACCCTTAAAACATTTATTTTATTTTTATATAAATGGATAACGTAGATTTAGAAAATTTAATTGATGATTTAGTACGTGATCAAAATTTTCTTAGTTATATGATTTAAAAGCATATCTCCAAAAATAATGAAAATATAACGGATGATGATATGGATTATTATTATTCATATTATGATAATGAATTTTTGAAATATCATGATGAAATAATTTCTAAAATTAAAGATAAAATTAAAAATAATGAATATACAAAGGAAAAAACTAAATCACAACTTAAACATTTGAAAGATTTCAAAAATGAAGTATTAACAGAAGAAGATATTGATGAATTATATAAATTATATAATCCTGAGCCACAAAAAACAAAGAAACAAAACGCCCGGGTCCTTCAGACCAAAAATGATGCACAAGCTTTAATTTATGATTCATTAGTTAAACCACATTCAGCCCAACTTTTAAATAAAGATCAACTTTTGGAATTCATCCTTCAACATAAACTCGAAGCGGGAAAGTATATCAAACCTTTATATACAGCATATTTAAAACAAATGAATAGAATACATCCAGAATTAATGAAGGAAGGAATGAATTCCAAAACTTCATCATCCAAAATCAAAGCGGATAAAATTAAACCACTTGCAACACCAATACCTCCAACGACTGTACCTGCAACACCAAAACCTCCAACGACTGTACCTGCAATACCAAAACCACCTCCTCCAGTTAATCCTTCATCATTCACTTTATTATATCCATTTCAAACATTAAAGAAGCAAAAAGATTTTAAAAAGGGTTTCAAGATATTAAATAAACCAATTGACCCGAAAATTCAACCGTTAAAGGAAAAATTTGGTCGCCCTTCATTTGCACCATATCCATATTCATACGAAATCGATCATTTAGAATATTCAAAAGGAAACGTTACTTATTTATTTGCCATTAACATTAACACCAGATATTTATATTGCATTCCAGTGAAAGGGAAAACAGAACAGGAAACAAGAAGAGCTATTCAATACTTACTAGATCATGAAAGAGTAGATAATATCAGGGGTGATAGTGATAAAGGATTTCAGGCAACTATGACTCATTATTTCCCACAAATTAATTTTTACTTTTCATCCTCTCCATATACGTTTCATAATAAAATAGTTGATGCGGTAATGAGAACTCTTAGAGATGCGTTAGGGGTTAACGGTCAGATATACTGGGATGGAAATCATGACTCCATCATACAACAGTTAGTATATTATTATAATAATACATGGCATAGAACTATAAACATGAAACCGGTGGAAATGAAAAATGATATTTCAAAAGAATGGGAATATATTAGAAAGCAAATGGAAAGGTTGAATGATGTTAAACGTGAACAAATTAATTCGGGGCTCATGAATTTTAAACAAGGGGATAAAGTTTTGATTCATCTCGATTATGGAAAAACTGATAAATCAATGACAAAAAGAAGACGAAGATTTGACACAATAGCTGAATTTGTTAGATATATTAACGGCAATGCATTAGTTGAAGTTGACAATAAATTAATAGAAATTCCGATTTATTTTATTACTCCATTATATTTAAATAATATTTAATTTTTTTTATTTCGTAAGAAATGAGTGACAACGAAGCAGTCAAGAGTCCAGACGATGAATATAAAAAGAAACTAAACAGAATTAAATCAAAAATATGCTATTACAAAAAGAAGCCACAATGCGGTGAGGTTGAAAACGATAAAGAAATAATCGAAAAATTAGAAACTTATCGTTCAATCCTTAAACTAAGTGAAGCAAAAATAAAAGAATTTAATAGAATAAATAAATTGATTGGAAGAGATGAATTTAATAAAGATGAATTTTTAAACTCAATCCAAAATTAATTTTTATTTTTCTTTGACAACATCTCTCTTTCCATCATTACTGCATAACCACATTTTCTCAGTTTTAGTGGTTTGTTATTTTTAGCAAGTTCTCGCAGCATTTTTATCGTTTCCTCCCTTGTTATGATTCGTGTAAATTTTGAGCTTGCGGGGTATTCATTTATATAAAAATAAAATTTTGTTATCAGTTATTTTATCGTTAATGGTTTTCAGGTTATTCAATAATTAATTCAAATCATAACACCATGTTACCATGTGCTCCCAGGTCATTCAACTTCTCTGAAAAAATGTGACAACATGACATTTTGACAACAACATGGAAAATGATTTGTCATGACTTCATCGTAATGAGTGTAAATGACCCAAAAATAATGTTTAGGTGACGAAGTGAGATCTCACCTCTTTTCTCACCTCTTGCTTTGTAGAACGAAGAGCATTCATTATACTTTGCATTTGGTACATGTCATCTTTGACCGAACGAATGAGGCGAAGTTGTTTGTTATACTGTATGTACTCGTATTCTTCATTAATGGCTTCATGAACGATAGTAGTTGTTGTGTTCTCTGATGTTGACATTACTGTCTTTACATACAAAATAAATAAAACTAACTTTATTTTTCTGACTTTCACAAAAGACAAAAATAAACGCTTTACATGTATTTTTCAGCAACTTCGTCAAATAATTTTATAGCTTTATCTATCTCATCTACTTCAAACGTTTCTTTACCTTTCGTGGGAGCACCATACATTTTCTCAAAACTTCAAGCAGTTCTGTTTCAGCAGCTCTCATATCATTAACAAACACAACCTTGACTCTATTGACTGTACTGTCATATCTTTGAGTTATATTATATGTCCTTCCTATCTTATATCTTTTGTGTTGAAGTCCTTCGGTTTCTGAACGATGTAAAGTAAGCCTTCACTGCAACGTTCAGTATCGAATGAACCATATGTTATGAAGTTATATCCAACAACTGGGTCTAACCATAACAAAACTATTGGTATAAGACTTTTGTCTATAAGATATGCTCTTGTTCCATGAAATGCTACTGATATCATAAGCTCAGGATTTCTTGTCAAAATTTTCTGAGTTGAAGCATTTCTAACCAGTCGTTTGTTTTCTTTTCAGATGGAGATATAATGTCTGACAAAGAATATTTGTTGTATTTCTTTGAGTATCTTACGTTTAAATCACCTATTCTAACCACTTTGGTGTCATCGTCTATCTTTCTAACTGTTTCAAACTCAATGTTTGTCATTACTGTCTTTACATACAAAACAAAAAAAGATATAAAAATAAAATTAGCGTTATTTTTCTAACTAATGAAATTCATTATTTTTGAAGAACTGATAGGGTCACCAGGTCACCAGGTCACCAGGTAATTTAACTTTTCTGAAAAAATGTGACAACATGACATTTTGACAACAACATAGGTTCTTCAATAATGCTTCATGAATGCCTTCCTCATTAATGTTTTTAGGTTATTCAATAATGAATTATTTTTGAAGAACTGATGAGGTCACCAGGTCACCAGGTCACCAGGTAATTTAACTTTTCTGAAAAAATGTGACAACATGACATTTTGACAACAACATAGGAGGATGGCAAAAATAAATTCAAATCATACTTTATAAAGCATCATTTACAGGTATTTCATCGTCAGTAAATGAATCATCATTATCGTTTGGTTCAACTTGTTTATATAATCCTTTCATTTCTTCTTTCAAAACATAATACCATGTCTGTTTACCATCTATTTTTCTTTGTTTCCTATCACATTTATCCTTAATACTCATTTGGAAATTCTTGTCTTTCATGTCTGATGGTTTGCAGAATAGAGCATTTTTACACGTCATACCTACACACAATTCATCATAATGTGTATTTATCCATACATCTAAAGGATTTGTTGATAATTCAATTAAATCTTGTTTGGCTTCAGTCATCGGAATGATTCGTACATTAAATGATGAAAGGTCATATTGCATAAAATACGTCAGTAAATTATCATAAAATTCCTTTGTGCATGAATTCATCAAATTCTTGAAGTAATCAAATTGACCCTTGAATTTACCATTAACTCTTAAAACTACATATCTTCTGTCTCCAACTTCAATTTTGACAGGGTAAACGTTATTAGTTACGAAAATGAAGTTTGCAACGTTCTGAGCAGTTCTTCTGGGTTGATTCTTTTCATTAATTCTTATCTCATTATCCGTTATAATTGATTTCAAAGCGTTGAAGTTTGCGAGTCTGTCTTCACCAACATTCTTGAGTTCATTAAGTACAAGAAACATTTATTCTCAACTACTGAATTGAAATTACCCGTTAGCTCACCTATTTCGGTAATGTTTTTGCATGAATAACCAGCGAGAAGTTCAGAAATAATGTCTGTAAATCTGTTTTTACCTGTTCCCTGAAGTCCTTTCAAAATAATTGCTGTTTCATTCTTGATTCCAGGATGTTGAATCATTGATGCAATCCAACCGAGTAGGTATTTATACACTTCATCGTTATTATCACAAATGACTTCTTTAATGAAATTCATAAACATCTCAATTTTTGAGTAATCAGGTTTTTCAAGAATGTTGTATTTATAACCCTGAAACGTTGAGAAAACATCGGGGGAATCAGATTTAAAGCAAACACCCTTAACGGTTAATGAAGACAATTGATTTAATAGTACATCCCATGCTGCTATTGTTTTACCTTCTTCTTTAAATAATTTAATCATTTTAAGTGACTCTTTCATGTTTGATTGAAGAATGAATGATATTTGATTCATTTTGTCGTGGATGTTGTAATCTTTTTGAATGAAGTATTTGTTTCCACAATCTACAAAACGGATTACACGTGATAAATCCTCAATTACTTCAGAACTGTTTTTATACTGATGATTTTCAGCCTTGCGTCTAATATCTGTTATCAAAAACGAGTCATCAAGTTTTATATCAAATGTTATTTTTGGCTTACGTAATAAAGGCAAAACATATTCATCATAATATTCCTTTTGATATAGTTTTAGAATCTTCACCAAAACAAATGGAGAAGTCATTAAATGTGCATATCTTTCACGTGCTTTTTCAAAATTACTTTTTGCATTTTCTGTTAAACTGCAGAAGTTATAAACGTTGTCGTATGCTTCATTAATTAAATGATTAGGTAACGAATTAATTGCTTGAAACAGTGTGAATAATGTAACTTCTTTTTCTAAATTCATGTTTCCACCGTCATTATGTACTTCAAAATCACAGATGCCATCAACTATGCTCTGGGCAAGTTTATCGTCAATGTTTACATCTTTGTTTTCATTCATGATAGTCTTTATTTCTTCATTCTTCTGTTCAACTCTTACCTTAATATTCAAATCATTTAATATATCATTCACTGTTCTAGTTAATGTTGAATCATAACTTCCACGAATGAATGAGTATGTATTGATTGGTTCTGTTGCATTCTTGCGAACTCTTGAATCAGCCATAACCACTAATGAACGCTTTGAATCATTCATAGAAGTCATTATGTCAATATCATAATCATTGCAGGAATAACATTTAATCATTCTGTTCGAAACTACATAGAAGAAATTAGTGTTGCAATAAATGTGAAGACCTCCTGAAGCGGTTTTAACGATAACATCTTTATCCGAAAGTTTTGATAAAATGTCTTTTCTAACTGTTTCTTTAAGTTCATCATTGTACGATTTATTGATATCAACATCTATAATCGTTAAATTTGATATTTTATTTACTAATAAAGCCATACCAGTTTTCCTTCCTCTTCCTCCATCGTATTTGAGGTAGTTATGTAAATCAATCTTGTTTTCACCAATTCTTTCGTTGAGGGTTTTAGTTTCTGCCATAACTAATTCCTCAACTAATGAATCAATAACTTTTTCATCAGAAACGATATAGTTGCTGTTGTTGTTTGTTGCTGTCATTTATATAGGAATAAAAAAATAAAAATAATTTTAAAACTAACTTTATTTTTGGACAGCATCAAATTTCATTCCTGTTGTCAAAATGTCATGTTGTCACATTTTTTCAGAAAAGTTAAATTACCTGGTGACCTGGTGACCTGGTGACCCTATCAGTTCTTCAAAAATAATGAATTTCATTAGTTAGAAAAATAACGCTAATTTTATTTTTATATCTTTTTTTGTTTTGTATGTAAAGACAGTAATGACAAACATTGAGTTTGAAACAGTTAGAAAGATAGACGATGACACCAAAGTGGTTAGAATAGGTGATTTAAACGTAAGATACTCAAAGAAATACAACAAATATTCTTTGTCAGACATTATATCTCCATCTGAAAAGAAAACAAACGACTGGGTTAGAAATGCTTCAACTCAGAAAATTTTGACAAGAAATCCTGAGCTTATGATATCAGTAGCATTTCATGGAACAAGAGCATATCTTATAGACAAAAGTCTTATACCAATAGTTTTGTTATGGTTAGACCCAGTTGTTGGATATAACTTCATAACATATGGTTCATTCGATACTGAACGTTGCAGTGAAGGCTTACTTTACATCGTTCAGAAACCGAAGGACTTCAACACAAAAAGATATAAGATAGGAAGGACATATAATATAACTCAAAGATATGACAGTACAGTCAATAGAGTCAAGGTTGTGTTTGTTAATGATATGAGAGCTGCTGAAACAGAACTGCTTGAAGTTTTTGAGAAAATGTATGGTGCTCCCACGAAAGGTAAAGAAACGTTTGAAGTAGATGAGATAGATAAAGCTATAAAATTATTTGACGAAGTTGCTGAAAAATACATGTAAAGCGTTTATTTTTGTCTTTTGTGAAAGTCAGAAAATAAAGTTAGTTTTATTTATTTTGTATGTAAAGACAGTAATGTCAACATCAGAGAACACAACAACTACTATCGTTCATGAAGCCATTAATGAAGAATACGAGTACATACAGTATAACAAACAACTTCGCCTCATTCGTTCGGTCAAAGATGACATGTACCAAATGCAAAGTATAATGAATGCTCTTCGTTCTACAAAGCAAGAGGTGAGAAAAGAGGTGAGATCTCACTTCGTCACCTAAACATTATTTTTGGGTCATTTACACTCATTACGATGAAGTCATGACAATCATTTCCATGTTGTTGTCAAAATGTCATGTTGTCACATTTTTTCAGAGAAGTTGAATGACCTGGGAGCACAGGGTAACATGGTGTTATGATTTGAATTAATTATTGAATAACCTGAAAAAACCATTAACGATAAAAAATAACTGATAACAAAATTTTATTTTTATATAAATGAATACCCGCAAGCTCAAAATTTACCACGAATCATAACAAGGGAGGAAACGATAAAAAATGCTGCGAAACTTGCTAAAAATAACAAACACTAAAACTGAGAAAATGTGGTTATGCAGTAATGATGGAAAGAGAGATGTTGTCAAAGAAAAATAAAAATTAAATTTTGGATTGAGTTTAAAAATTCATCTTTATTAAATTCAATCTTTCCAATCAATTTATTTATTCTATTAAATTCTTTTATTTTTGCTTCACTTAGTTTAAGGATTGAACGATAAGTATTCTTAATTTTTCGATTATTTCTTTATCGTTTTCAACCTCACCGCATTGTGGCTTCTTTTTGTAATAGCATATTTTTTGATTTTTCTGTTTAGTTTCTTTTATATATTCATCGTCTGGACTCTTGACTGCTTCGTTGTCACTCATTTCTTACGAAATAAAAAAAATTAAATATTATTTAAATTAATGGAGTAATAAAAATAAATCGGAATTTCTATTAATTATTGTCAACTTCAACTAATGCATTGCCGTTAATATATCTAACAAATTCAGCTATTGTGTCAAATCTTCGTCTTTTTTTGTCATTGATTTATCAGTTTTTCCATAATCGAGATGAATCAAAACTTTATCCCCTTGTTTAAAATTCATGAGCCCCGAATTAATTTGTTCACGTTTAACATCATTCAACCTTTCCATTTGCTTTCTAATATATTCCCATTCTTTTGAAATATCATTTTTGTTTTCCACCGGTTTCATTTTATAGTTCTATGCCATGTATTATTATAATAATATACTAACTGTTGTATGATGGAGTCATGATTTCCATCCCAGTATATCTGACCGTTAACCCCTAACGCATCTCAAGAGTTCTCATTACCGCATCAACTATTTTATTATGAAACGTATATGGAGAGGATGAAAAGTAAAAATTAATTTGTGGGAAATAATGAGTCATAGTTGCCTGAAATCCTTTATCACTATCACCCCTGATATTATCTACTCTTTCATGATCTAGTAAGTATTGAATAGCTCTTCTTGTTTCCTGTTCTGTTTTCCCTTTCACTGGAATGCAATATAAATATCTGGTGTTAATGTTAATGGCAAATAAATAAGTAACGTTTCCTTTTGAATATTCTAAATGATCGATTTCGTATGAATATGGATATGGTGCAAATGAAGGGCGACCAAATTTTTCCTTTAACGTTGAATTTTCGGGTCAATTGGTTTATTTAATATCTTGAAACCCTTTTTAAAATCTTTTTGCTTCTTTAATGTTTTGAAATGGATATAATAAAGTGAATGATGAAGGATTAACTGGAGGAGGTGGTTTTGGTATTGCAGGTACAGTCGTTGGCGGTTTTGGTGTTGCAGGTACAGTCGTTGGGGTATTGGTGTTGCAAGTGGTTTAATTTTATCCGCTTTGATTTTGGATGATGAAGTTTTGGAATTCATTCCTTCCTTCATTAATTCTGGATGATCTATTCTATTCATTTGTTTTAAATATGCTGTATATAAAGGTTTGATATACTTTCCCGCTTCGAGTTTATGTGAAGGATGAATTCCAAAAGTTGATCTTTATTTAAAAGTTGGGCTGAATGTGGTTTAACTAATGAATCATAAATTAAAGCTTGTGCATCATTTTTGGTCTGAAGGACCCGGGCGTTTTGTTCTTTGTTTTTGTGGCTCAGGATTATATAATTTATATAATTCATCAATATTTTCTTCTGTTAATACTTCATTTTTGAAATCTTTCAAATGTTTAAGTTGTGATTTAGTTTTTTCCTTTGTATATTCATTATTTTTAATTTTATCTTTAATTTTAGAAATTATTTCATCATGATATTTCAAAAATTCATTATCATAATATGAATAATAATATTCCATATCATCATCCGTTATATTTTCATTATGTTTTTGGAGATATGATTTAAAATCATTATAACTAAGAAAATTTTGATCACGTACTAAATCATCAATTAAATTTTCTAAATCTACGTTATCCATTTATATAAAAATAAAATAAATGTTTTAAGGGTGCCCACCTCTTTGATCAAGAATCAAAACCATCATTCAACGGTTCCTTTTGTCTCTTCTGTGGCATTTCATTAAATAAACGGCATACAACATCCATTTTCACAACATACAGCCTTAGTGTGTGCTCCTGTTAATGCAGTCTTACCGATTTAAGCGAGTCATTGACCAGTTTTTAAGTTGTAAATTAATATTCTGACCATCAAATATCACTTTATCATTTATTATATCCAAATAATTTTTAGGTGTTAATTGTTTATTTTGTCGTAAACTAACTCCTTTCATTTTTGTGCAATCTTTTTAAAATCACTTCCATCAATTGAACCATTGAATGATGTATAACACTTGGGGCATAAAGCAACCATGTTATCACCTTGTTTCTCAATTGCTAAACCCAATAACTTCTTCTCATGTGCTTTTTCTTCAGCTTTATTCTTTAATTTAGGTTTAAATTTCTCATCAAAACAAAAGAAATCAAAAGGTGCGAATTTGTAAATGTTTTTATCATAAAATTGTTTATCAGTAACAATTGCTTGAAATGCTTGAGTGTTAGGAAGATTTGGATCACCAGCGATTGCCCAATAAGATGAATCAGTATCACCTTCAATGAAATGAAAACGATTAACATTCATGCATTTATACATAAAATCATAAATGAAAACCAAATACCAGTATTTAGCATTATCTAAAGTGAAGAATGCCTCTTGTAAACATGTATCACATCTATAAAATCTATCTTTAAGCATCACTTGATACGTATCTTCACCTATTTCTCTTATGTTTTTAAACTTATTTGACATACATGCAACGCGTGCCTTCTGTGCATTCATTATTTTAGTCTTTGCGTAATTTTGTGTATTCATTGCATCGTAACCATATGATCCATTAAGTGAAATCTTGCAAAATAAACTTTTTCCTTTATTTCCTTCTAATTCAGCCTTTTGTCTTTCGTTCATAAATTTGTTCGCAAATTCATTAAAACAAGTGTTTTTAGTAAATGTTAAAATTGATTGAATGTCATCGATGATAAAATGAAAATTTGTCTATTAGATACCAAAGATAATAAGAAGAAAATGGTTGATATTGGTTGTGTGTTGATGCTAACTGAGTTAATTTTCTCTGTTTCTGGTCAACCGGTAAATTGTTTGATTTCATGTAATTATACATAAAACTGCCAATTGTTTTTTCATCTGTGATAATATCTAAGTTTCTTATTATCGGTAAAAAGTTTATGTAATCATTAATGTATTTTTCATCAATGTGACCCTTTACTTCAGCCACGAATAAAGTATTTTTCTTTCTAATAATTCCCAGTGCTTTTGCTTTCTTTGTTGCTGTATCACAAATGATAACACCATTCAATCTTCCCGGCATATACATTTTATGGTCAGTATATTGAATGAAATCATGAGGATTAGATGAAAATGATGAAGGATATAATGAATTAAAGTCAACTCCAACGAAATGAGTCATAATGTTGGTGGTGTCCTCATTTGATACAGTTTTAGTTTCTGGATTATATGAAAGTTTATTAATGTGTGTGATTCCTTTAAGATTTACTCTATGTTGAACATTTGATAAACCACCAGTAATTCCATTACGGAGAATGTGATAAGCTTCAACTGAATCTAAAGTCATTGGTAAATTATTTTTTAATGCATAATTTCTTAAATTGATTCTTAAACGTTGAACATCTTCATCTTTATTTGATTTTACGACATTGCAATAACAACACATTAACTGACAATTTTCTTTGGTATGTGGTTTTTCATTATCGATTCTATCCAATGTTGGTTTATTTACATATGTAAACGCTTTACCACACATTTTGCATTTAGATGAAAGGATTAAATCGTGATAGTATTGAAAATCATCCGTTGAAACATATTTTTAGTATCTCTTTTCGCCTTTTCATCTTGTTTCTTATATGAATCAATTTTATATTTCCAATACTTTTTTGTTAATTCAAAACTTGATTCTATCTCTTCCTCAGGATATTTTTCATTAGGATTAAAGTCTTTATATGCTAAAGCGTAACGAATCATTGAAGCATTCGATGATAAAGAAAGATTATGAAGCATGTCAATTTTATAAACAAATGTTTCTTCGATAATTTTATCAATTGGGTCAATCATAATTTCAACATCTTTATTGCAATAATGAATAAAATATTCTAATCTATTCTCAAAATTTTTAGCATCATTGAGATATATTTGATAATCACTATCTGATATAGTTTCTTGAGTTAATGCTGAATAAAATGAATCTTTCGTGAATGGTTCCACTTTATATAATTCTTCTTCGTAATTCTCCCATGTGATGAATTGATAAGGGAAAAAGGATTTAACACGTGACTTATTGTTTCCGAAATCTTGAGTGAATTGGTCTAATGTCCCACCCGCTATATAATTTCTGATGTCAATAAATCTTAATTCATATGGAACGTTTGTTTTCTTTACAATGATTTGCTTAAATTGT